AAGTGTCCAGCCATCTGGATGCGTAACCCTTAAAAAAACATATAATTTGATATAGTTTAATATCATAGTTATTCAGTTCTTTACTATCTCACTAAAGTGCTAAAATTTATTAATTTTCCAATTAGTTAAAAATAAAAGAATAAAAATAAAGTTTATTATTTAATTAGGTTGAATTGTTTAAACTAACAAAAATTAAACAAAACTTAAATTGTAAATTTAAATATAATTGTCCAAAAACCAGGCAAGGACTGAATCCCCCTCAGACAACTATTCAGTATGACAAAAAATAAAGTAGAGTGCTGCCCATCGAGAACAACTTTTATACTATGATTGACAAAGAAGGATTCAATAATCTTAAAGATGTTTCCAGATACACCGTAAGAAGAAAGCTTATGGAGAATACCAGCATGCCAAACTTTATCAAAAGCTTTAGAAATGTCAAGAGCAATTGCCTTTATCTCATCTTTATCTAATGCACAAAAAACCTATCGGTTATTACTGTCAGCAAATCAGCTGTAGAACAAGAAGATCCAAATCCATATTGGTGATCAGAAAGTAAGTTATTAGATTCAAGATAAGAAATTAAGTTTTTATTAATAAAAAACTCAATAACCTTGCATATGATAAAAAGAAGACTAATGTGACAGTACTTAGATGAATCAGATTGCTCTCCAGAGTTTTTGAAAATAGGTATAACAGATGCTGCTTTCCAGCAGGCTGGAAAACAAGACTCTGATAAGCACTTGTTAAATAGTTTTAAAAGGATAGACGACAGCTCCAGAGAACACTTCTGCAAGACTATAACAGGTATGTTGGCCGGGCCGCAAGCTGTAGAAGAGTCTAAGCGGGAAATCACATTAGATACAGAAGCTGGAGTGATACGGATGTCGAGCAATGGATCAACCTGTTTGATGGCTATATCAGGTAGAAAGCAACTAGTGGAATCAAGAGATAATATTGATGAAAAGTTCTTGGCAAACAATTCAGCTTTGTCTTTAGGTGTGGTGACAAAGTCTGAACCATACAAAAGAGGTGGAATTACAGACTTGCCCTTATTTTTGATACTATTAAAGGTTCTCCAGAAGTCATGAGAGCCTAATTTTTGTGATGAAATACAAGATTTCATGATCTGAGAATAGCGGGCTTTGGCATTAGACAAAACCTTTTTACAATGGTTTCTAGCAGTAATAAACCGATGTCTGTTTTCTAGAGAATTGTTTTACTGATAGATATGGAAGTAACAATTTCAATTGGAAATTGCAGCAGCACAATATGAAAAAAACCATGGAGAAGAGAGAGGCTTGACCTGGAATCGTTGAGGGAATAAAAGATTCCATGCCAGCCTGAATCTATGAAGTTATGTAAAAAGCACATTTTGTCAGCAGTAAAACGAAAGATTTCTACCCGTCATGAAGAAAATCACAGAAAGAGTCCCAGTCAGCTTTAAGGTGGTTGTAAGAGGTACGATGATAGGGGGATTCAGATGATGAAGATGAATGAGATAATAGTATTAGAGAGACCAAACAATGATCAAACCATGATCATGTGGAGAAACTGAGCACTGACTAGGATCAGAAACAAGACATAAGTCGAGTAGAGATGGTAAATGATTTGGGTTGTCTGAAATGCAAATTGATAAGTTGACTATTTGAGTTAAGAATTGAGAAAGACAAAAATTGTGGGCTTTAACATCTGCAGAGTCATTAACATTAGAGCCAAGCCATTCAGTGTGATGAGCATTAAAGTCACCAACAACCATAATATTGGCTGATGGGTAAAGAAAAAGAGTGCAGTCTTGAGATGAAGGAGAGCGATGTAGAACAAAGAGAAAGGCAATTGAGTGAAGTAGTGCTAAATGAAAGCAAACGAAAGAATAGTTTGTGGATTCAAATCTAGTTTTCCGACAAATGGGTGAATTTTTACAAATGTAAATGCCCAGACCAAGCATGTAACTATTGGAGTCTTTATGAATTTAAGGAAGATAACCATCAACACTAAGACCACAAGATGAGACAGCAGAACTCAAATTAGTCTCACAAAGAGCAAGTAGGTCTGATGAACTTTGCAAGAGATAAGACTCAACAGAAGAAGTTACTTCAAATATCACGAATTAGTGTATTAGTGAATGATAGGTTTAGCCAACTTTGTGATGTCAAATTTTTTTTTGTGTTAAAGTTTTTTTGTGTACTTTAGTGTACTTTATTCATTTTTAAATTTGTTAAAGAACTTGACTCAAAACATAGCCAGTACTCAGTACACTGTTTGATAGCCCAAGCAATTGCTTTATTACTATTAATAAGCCCGTAGCCATAATAAAAAGCTCTAAATGTGACCTTGACAATGCACACTAAAAAAAACAGGGACATCATTCATGCGCAACATGAACTGTTAGTACTCTGATATTTTTCAGCTTTTGATGGAATCAGCCTCTCCGAGAGCTACCACAGAGTTCAGGAAACCTGACTACCAGCCGACCTCAGAATCATAAAACTGAGTTTTAGAGCTGTACCCTCATTAGAAGATAATAGAATAAGTTGCCTAGTCATAAAAACAGAGACCTAAGCAAAACCCATGAATTGAGTCAAGAAGATCCGGCATTCAACATCCTAAACTGGAAACAATGTATTATAAATACATCTGTGCCAGCCTAATAGATGAGGAAGGGGTGCAAGGGTGGTCAACAAATAGAATCTGTTTACCCCTTAAGTCTACCTAGGAGATCTCCTACAAGACAGTAGCAGGATGCATTTAACATCTGCCCAAGATGAGTATTTGTATTGAGACATTATCTCTAGCCTTTACTCAACCAAGAGCCCCAAGTAAAGGGGTGTTTTAAGTCAGAGTTGGCTTCTCCTAGCTTTTGCCTAAAAAAGTGTATCCTACATGGCAGCAGGACATGAAGCAGATCACATGTTACCATTTACATATGAATTTTTGCTCCAGATTAAATTAAGTAGCTCTTCATACCCCTTGCTAGTAGAGAGGCAAAACCCCTTCAATGAACCCCACTATGTGAGCCCCATGAAACACTTTAATCCAATAACGTTCTCTCTACTTTCCAGTTCATATCATTCATACTAAATCTCACTTTTATAAGGGAACGCTTTAAAAAGCAAAATAATACTTCTTTTTTTTTTCAAGATATTTTATAGATAGTATTTTTATTATTATTTTCAAACTTATAAAAAATATACTCATAAAATATAAAAAAAAGTAAATAAATTACAATGCTATTGTTTATTTATAAAGATAAACTAATATACCTGAGGATTCAAAGTATACGTGTTCTGTACTGATGACTGACTGATAATTGGAAGTATTATTGCTAAATCTATGACTACTTCTCCCATGAAATCATTGTTACCATCTTCATCATAGTCAAGAACAGTTATTATCAACTTTGTTAACTTCATCTGCTCAGATGTAATGAAAAATGTGTAAGTTCCTCCAACAGGCCAGTCCCATATTGGATCAAGTGTTGCTAAAGTAATTTATAAAAGCAAATGATGTATGTATGTATGTATGTATGTATGTATGTATGTATGTATGTATGTATGTATATATGTATGTATGTATATATATATATATATATATATATATATATATATATATATATATATATATATATATATATATATATATATATATATATATAAGTATATATATACAACAATAAATGCATAATTAGATAAGTCCTGTGACATCACACTAAAATAGCCTGCTGCCAAGCCTTTCAGTACAAACATCGACTATCTTATACTCTGTTGCAGCAAAGGAGTGCTGCTATATCAACTGAGGGTTTGGCATGGGGTAGCAATCTTTTCTTTCTGTATTCTACATTTTTTTCTTCTTTTTCTTTAAAAGCTTTATGTTATAAAGATAAGCAAAACTAGTAAGCAAAAAATCATTATTATATATATATATATATATATATATATATATATAAATATATATTTAATATATATATATATATATCAAGAACTAGGGTTAGCATTAAGCAATGCCGACATAACTGCTGACCTTAAAGTGTTTGAGGTTGGCAAAAAATTGCCTGCCTTGTTTCTATATTTTATGGAAGATATTTGCTTCATTTAATTATTCCTAATTCCAAGGGTTGATATATATATTTTTCTTCATGAATTTGAAACTTTTGCTATTTCTTGAAAAATGCAAACTTTCTTATGTTTCATTTAGCACAGATTTACTCAAGATAATTCAAACTCACATTTAGGTTTTCTTATTTAACACAAGATATCTAAAAACCAAAATAGAATGTCTAAGCATGATTAAACTTTGATGAAAGAAGAATTAGAAACTTAATGAAACCAAAATATAATTACATTCTCAATAACATAATAATCGAAATGTATAAAGAAAAAGCCATTGCTATAAATACTCATCTTTATTTAAAAATTTGTATCAATGCGCAATTAATAAATTTTCTATGATACAATACATACTGATATATATCCTTATATTATCCAACTTGATTATGTTATAAATTTTAAACAAACTATGCCTTTTTTGATCAATTTTTCCCGATTTTTCCAGATAAACTATTTTCTATAATCATTTTCTTAAATCAAAAATATATTCAAAAGTTTGCTTTTTCCTGAAAAACTTGCTAACAAAGCAAATTAAAATAAATTCTCTTATTAAAATTATTATATATTTTGTGAAAACCAAAACTTTAGAAGTTTTGGCGCAAGACCTTTGAACATCAAGTATAAAATATTACTAAAAATGGTAAAAATATAATCAAACCTTGCTTAGGAGCAGACTCTAATGTTCCTTGGTCCCACCAGCTAGGAGATATCCTCAATGTAAAAAATGGATTTGATGTCATTGATGGGTAATCTCGGGCAACAAGCTGATATCCTCTTAGAACATTAACACGAACCATGCTATTTTGGGGGTTGTATTGCATAAACATCACCTCAATACTCCCAGTGATTTGCTGCGTTTGCATAAAGGTTTTCTAAACAATCATATGTAGAAAGCAAGAATTGTCACAGTTAAAATGGTGGTAAAATATTGGTATTATTAACAACATAAAATATAAAAAATGATGATAAAAAATTAGTATTATTAACATTATTTTAAATTTATTATGAATAAATAAAAAAAATGTTTGATATTAATAATTTGGACTCCTGCTACAAGAGAACACGTTTAAATATATAATATAAGAAAAGTATAAACTAACCATTCAATGTGTAAACTGAAGATTCAGTTTGTAACCTAAACATTAAGTGTGTTAACAAAACATTCAGTGTGTAACCTAAACACTCAGTGTGTTAACTAAGCATTTAATGGTGAGTCAAATTTCAAAGTATCAAGTAAACAAAGATAAGATCGCTAACAATGTCATTTTCATTTTAGTGACAGTCTTTAAAATAAGAAGCACTTTATTTAATTTTATTAGCTTTCTTTTGTCAATTGATTTTGATGAACCTAGTAATGATGAGTTTGATAAAAATGGGCTTAAAGTTAACACGCGAAAAAAAAATAAACATTTCAACGTGTTGCAAATAAGTTAGGTTTATTTTTGCAGTTAAGTGTTTCTAATGTAGAGTTGCAGAGCCTGGATGCTCATTGCTGAATTCAGAAGACTAAAATGTATTCTTTGTAATATTGGTATAAGGATTCTCCCATCTGAGTCCAAAATAAGACAAAAACAAGAAATGCAGACAATACATATTAATTAAGAACATATTACTGTAAAGTCCATGTTGCTTTATCCACTTGTGAATGAATTACCTTCAGAACCATCTCAACTCTGACAATGTTTTGACAAAGAGGTATGACTCCTTTTTACTAGGGATAAGACTGGAAAGTATTTGAAATTCCATTTTGAAGTTGTCAGTTCTAAATCATCAGGATTTGCATATGATGTTTTTTTTTTTTTTTGTATGTATCAGGGTTTCAACCGTCATGAGAATATTGCCTTAATTCTTGGGCATGTAAAAACATTAAACCAACATTAAAAGAACTACCAACATTAAAAGAACTCAGTCAGGATTTAAACTAAAGGGAAAAAAATAGGTTGTTTTTGGGTGAAGATTTTTAGTTCATCAACGATGTTCTGGAATACCAGAGTTCAGGGTTGTTAGGTTCCCTAGTTTTGCAGATCTAGTTGAATTGAATTCTCTAAGAAACTATTTTCTGTCCAACACATCTACTAATTGTAACATCCCAAGGAGAAAATTACAATCTCTAGAAAAACTTACAAATGAGAAAAAAATGAAGATATGTATGGTGGAAACTTAAAAGCTCTAGATAAGTTTCATAATTCAACTATTTCTCCCATAACAACTTTAGATAATGTAGTGCCTTTTGTTTTGCATATTGTGTTGATCTTCTGTTTTGCATATTGTGTTGATCTTCTGTTTTGCATATTGTGTTGATCTTCTGTTTTGCATATTGTGTTGATCTTCTGTTTTGCATATTGTGTTGATCTTCTGTTTTGCATATTGTGTTAGGAATAATGTTAAAGCTGTGTAAGTTATTGATAAAGGAGTGTAAAAAAGGAATTTAATTTGAATGTTAAAAAAATATTTTAAAAAAAAGTATAAAATTACAATAAAAACATCTTTTACATCTTAGAATAAAATATCCTTGATTTATAAAGGTTTTTTAATCTACTTAAGCATGTTTATGTTTTTTTTTTTTTTTTAATATTTATTGTTTTTTATTATATGTTTTTATTGATTTTATATATTAGATGTCTATTTTATTTTTATCTTCAGAAGTTCATTCAATTTCATTCAAATTTCATTCAACCTCTGCAGTTAATTCTTAAAAAAATATAATACAATCTAAAGAAATTACTAAAAATCTAAAAAAAATTAAACAACTTATAAAAAATTACAAGACTTATCATTTTTATTAACTTCATCATTTATTGCTTTTAACATATCTTGAATTTGAATTAAAAACTTTTTTTAAAGTAAAAAAATGTTCAACTCAATTTCAAAAAAAATCTAAAAATATAAATAAAAAAAATTTTAAAAGACCTTAATATGTAACTTTATTTGTGTAAATCAGAACTAAGTGAAGTTGAAACTAACACTTTGATAAACATGAGAAATTCTTAAAACCTAAATAAGTAATTATTTGTAGTAATCATTTACTAATTTTTCAATTAATAACTTTTTAATCATTAACTTGTTTTTCTGTGCAGCAGCCTTGTTTTTTAACGTTTGTATTTCAGAATTATAGAGTAGAGAGAGGGTAAGGTAATTGTGTAACCACAATTAAGTAGCCTCCTTTTCTGTAATGGCTCATATACTCTCAGTCTTGGATAATTTAATATTAAAAAAGAAAAGAATTATGTAACGAGAAAATAGTATAACATAAAAATATAATATATATAGCTTTAACAAGAGACTGTTTTCCTATTAAATGTTGGATGCCATCTGCCATTTTAAATGATTTAAGAGTATTTCTAAAATATTATACTAATATTTATAATTTTCTTTTTATCTTTTAGATATTGATTCTTAAGCCACCACTCAAATGACTCTTTACTACCTCAATACCATTTTATTATATATATTTATCACCTACTATTTATTTATTATATTTTACCTGTTATTGCCTTAATATTATTAGTTTATTATTACCATAGTACCTTATTGATGGTTTATTATCTTATTATTAGGCTAATTAAGAAAAACTTGGGTAATCAAACCATTATTACAATCAACTTTAATAAAGAAAAGTAAAAAAATTTTTTAAAAGTGTAACGATGAATAAAAAGTTTGAAATTATGGACCAAAAAATAGTATCAATAATATCTAAAAACTATAATTAAAAAAAATTAATTTAAAGCATTCCAAAATGTGGCCATAACAATTGTTTTCTTTTTTATTCTAAAATGTAAAATCATTAAACTATGTTTACTCAACAGTAAAACAAATCACTTATAGCAACTTAACTAAAGAGCACATTTTAAATACAACTGTTATTTCGTTCATAAATATCAGAGTATTCATTTTAAAAAACCCATCAAGGTTATCTAACATTTACCAAATTATTTTCTTGACAACTTCCCCTCTTATATTTTCCGCCTTTTTCCACTTTTTATTTGTTCGCTAGTTTGTCCCTAATGTCTTATTAAAATGTTCCCCTTCATAATCAATTATTTTTCAAAATTATTAAAACCTTAAAATTTTTTACCTCATACACACTGTAAGCTTGTTGAAACAATCCATCAGTTTGAGATAAATACTGAGATATATTACTTTGTTCTGCAATAGTTGAAAAAATGAAATCTTTTTGTGTATTCAGCAGACTCTAGACAAAAATAGTTCATATAAAAGTGTCTCATATATTTGTTATTATCTACTATATCATATTATTAAATATTGCTATTAATACATTAAAATATGTTTTATACAACAATTACAATTACAAAATATATATATATATATATATATATATATATATACATATATATATATATATATATATATATATATATATATATATATATATATATATATATATATATATATATATATATATATATATATATATATATATATATATGTATATAATTCAAAACTCTTCTAATGAAAATATTTTTAACTCTTCAAAACGCGTGTATAAAGATGCTCTTAAAAAAAGTGGATTTAAAAATTTCGAGCTAAAATTTCAAACAAAAGCTGCAAAAAAAGAAAAAAAGAAATATTATTTGGTTCAACCCTCTGTACAGCAAAAATTATTCAACAACAAATTGGAAAAGAGTTTTTAAAATTTTTAGACAAACATTTCCCTCCCTCTAACAGATTGCACAATATTTTTAACAGAAACACTATTAAAGTAAGCTATAGCTGTACAAAAAATATTGAAAGAATTATAAAAGGTCATAATTTTGCATTAATAAATAAAAATAAATTTCTTAAAGAAAAAAGTCTAAAAATTGTAACTGTAAGCAAAAAATTGAGTGTCCTATGAAAAGCAAATACTTATCAAAAAGTATTTACAAATGCATTGTTTCCTCACAAAACAACCCCGATAAACAGTACATTAGCTTAACCGAGGGCAAATGGAAAAAACGTTATGCCAACCCAAACAATCTTTTAAACATAAAAAATACTCAAAAAAGACTATGCTGTCAAAATATATTTGGCAACTAAAAGAAAAAAATATTAACTTTAAATTAAACTAGTTTATTCTAAAAACTGCGCCTGCCTATTATAACATTTCCAAAAAATGTATACTATGTTTACAAGAAAGATTTGAAATTATTATTATTATCATTTAGATCAAGAAAAATTTACTAAATAAAAAATCCGAATTAATTTCTAAATGCAGACATGAAAATAAGTTTTTTAATAATTTTAAAAACAAATGTCTAAAATTATCCTAATTCTAAAGAATTCACTATTAAAATTTTAAAATATAAAATTAAAATTAGAAAAAAAAATTATAATATGAATAATAATTTAACATAAAAAGTAAAAAATAATAGAATTAAGATAAAATTACTTGAGTTTGATTCATCAACATTTCAATTTGCTTTCCTTTGTTATAAATATTTGTTATTTGCTCAATAAAATTTCCTAATGAAGCTGACCATTGATCTTGTTTATTTTGGAAAAACAAAACAATTTGATCAAAATTCAAAAAAAATGCTCTTGCAAGAGTTTGGTGGCTAGCAACCTAAATAAATTTCTTCTTTTAATATTCTCAATAAGTTATATACCAAATACTGTATGCAACATACTGAAATACAAGTCAAGTTACCATAGTGTTTTATAAACATAAATTTAATCAAATAACTAAAAAGAAGAAGTTAAAAAAATTTTAATAAAATACAAAAAAATAAAAACTTATATCTTACATCTTTTGCCATGTTTGTAATATTTGTAAGTAAATCATTTGATAACTTTAGGTCTCTATCAATAATTTTCTCAAAACTTTCCAAATTAAAAGTGGGAACATTTTGTGAGTATGAATATGCTTTGCTTACAAAATCAGAAGCAAGTGAATTTAAGTAGACCAAGTATGAAAATACAGCTGATGCAAAACTATCACTTTCTATAAATGCAAAAATATCAATAAACAAAACAATAAGTATATGTATGTATGTATGTATGTATGTATGTATTTATGTATGTATGTATGTTTTTTTGATATGATTGATTATTTTGTTTAAATTACCTTTGCTCATTTTATCTCCTTGAACAGCTGCATTGTATATAGAAGTCATTCTTTCAGAACTTTCAAATGTCATCTGTCTCATTTTTATTACTTGTGTTTGAACATTGTTAATCTAAATTTAGAACATATATATATATATATATATATATATATATATATATATATATATATATATATATATATATATATATATATATATATAAATTAATATATATATATATATATATATATATATATATATATATATATATATATATATATATATATGCTAAATCTTTTTTTTTTCTTCTACCTTACCTCATTAAGAAGATCAGTAAGTCTCATGTTCCAAGGAATAAGTTTGTCGTTGTGCAATATGGCAAAATCTTTCTGACCTTGCAAAAGTCGATTTTCAAAGTATATTGCATTCAGCTTAAAAAACAAAAATAATATAATGTAACTATATTTATATCTATCTGGGATTTAAAATTAAAACCACAAAATACTAATATTAAAAACCCAATTTAATTGAGGATATGGATAATATATATAAGGAGTTATATATATATATTGAGGATATATATATAATAAGGAGTTTGTAGACTTTGGAGGCTAATGTAATGTAGCATCATAATAAAAATATTCAGTCCTGCTCTGAAAAACAGGTCAACACCAGGAATGGTATCAGGTTGTAAAAAATTCCTCTTTCACAATGACTTATTTAAATTTAAAAAATATCACTATGTAAGCTCATTTAACCGCACAAGTGTAGAGCCACAAAAGTTAAATTTAAAAAAAAAGTATTCCACAAAGTTTTATAGTCAAATACTGTTATGCTATGCACAAACTTGCCAAAAGAAAAGTCAAAATAAAAAGCACTAAAAATACTGTTTATTGGTTATAGATAGTGAGTTTATAGTAATTTTTTTGCTATCATTTATTTGTTCACTTCGATGTAAAGAAGGGGTTTTATATGACTATGTATGACAACTAATCATATTTTAAATCATAATACACTTCTTTAAATTAAACTGAGCTACTTTTTGAGAAAATAAAAGAATCTTTTAAACTTAGTTTAAAAACTTTAAAAAAATAATAATAATAAATAAAAATACATTAAAAAAACTTTAATGTAATTTTATTTAATTACTAAAAATCAGGATGATATATTTAATTCAACATATTTATTTAAACATAAAAAATCTCAAACATTAAATTTATTAGGTAGTCATCTGGAGATGATTTTATTTTTAAACTTTCAAAATTAAAAATTAAAATTTAAAAAACTTTACTAAAATTTATAAAAAAATAGTAACCTTTATTAAAAAAATATAAAAACAATTTAAAACAAAATTTAAATCTAATTTCTATATTAGTATAAGTCCAATCCACACAAAAAAAATAATAAATAAGACGTAAAAACAATGATTATCAAATTAATAAGTATTTCATAAATATACACCTCCTCATGCAAAACTATTTGATTCTACATACTTGACAAAAAATCATATGATTCTACATACTTCACAAAAATCATGATTCTATATACTTTACAAAAATCATATGATTCTACATACTTCACAAAAATCATGATTCTATATACTTTACAAAAATCATATGATTCTACATACTTCACAAAAATCATATGATTCTACAAACTTCACAAAAATCATATGATTCTACATACTTCACAAAAATCATATGGTTCTACATACTTCACAAAAGAAAACATACCTCTACTTGCTGTTTTTTAGCTTGAGTTAATTTCAACTCAGTTTGCAAATCGGTTAGATTTTGTGTCAGCTCAAGTTGTTCTTCAAGATCTTCTAATTGATTATCAACACTGTCAACATATAACTGAAGCTTTCGTGTACAAAGTGGGCATTCTTGGTTATTAGTTAAAAAAAAATGTAAATATATAATAAATTTTTAAACCAATTCTAATTTTATTGTAATATATTTGAAAAAATAAAAAAATTTAATTTAATTTTTAAGACATACGTTTACAGCCGTTAATTCCAAAGTCAGAGTATTGTTTTTGGCATTGACCACAATCTCGACCTTCAACACCTGGTTTACAGGAACATTGCCCAAATACGTCATTTACACAGTTAGTATTAAGAATAGTCCCAACCAAATGACATTCACAAGCTACAAATATATTTTAGTACTTTATAATAAACTTAAAAAATTATTTCTGAACCCAATAATATTTATTTAATTACAGAAAAAATGAATAAACAAATTAATGGTGAGCTCATATAATGAGCTCATGAAAAAAAAATCCTACTAAAAAAACTTACGAGAACATGGTTTTGCTGGGAGGCCAAAGTAACCAACTTTGCATTTATCACATTTCAGTCCTTGAACATCAGTAAAACAAGAACACTGACCAGCATTGTTGCATTGTTGTTCTGAGGAGCCAAAAGCATTACAATTGCATGGACTACATCCACTAGGACTTAAACCAAAATAATTGGGCTAAATAAAATAACAAATAAAAAATAAATAAAATAAAGAGAAATTAAAGTTCAATGATTCCACTAACTTCACAGTCTATAAATCTAACAATAAAGTTTAAACATTTTTTATCAAAGCAAATTTTTTATTACTTACTGCACATTTAGAGCAAGTCTGCCCTACTACTCCAGGTTTACAATAACATTGCCCTGTGACCATATCACATGAAGCATTATATGAACCAAATATGTGACAATTACATCCTACATAAAATCAAATAAAACAGTATTAAAAAAATCTTTTTTTTAATACATAGTGTATTTTAAATTGCATATTTAAACTAAATTAATTTGTATAATAGTATATAATATCAAGATTATATATATAAATTTTAATAGTAAACATTATTTATTTGTTTTTTACTTTTTCTATATCTTTTTATCTCTCTCTCTCTCACTCTCTCTCTAATGAAATCAAAAAAGGAAGTATTAAATGGCATCTCAAAGTCAAAGTTCGCTTTCAAATATAAAATACCAAAGAACACCTTATCTACCTGGTTGAGAAACAAGGAAAATATTTTTGATGCTGTGGAGAATAGAAACAGCCCAAAACATAAGCGTATGAGGAAAGAGTCATTTGCAAATTTGGATCAAGACATTTTTAAATGGCTTCTGGTTGTTCGTAGCAGAGATGTCACTGTATCTGTTTTAATTCTCAAAACTAAAGCCATGGAATTTGCTGAAAAAATGAAGGTTACAAATTTTCATGCTTCAGATGGTTGGTTAGACCATTTGAAAAAATGATACAACATATCATATATAATGGTTTGGGGTGAAGCTAATACGTGTACAAGTGAAATGGTAGTACCATGGGAGGAAACCATGTTACCAACCATTTTATCAAAATATAAGTTGAACCAGATTTATAATGCTGAAGAATTTGGCTTATTTTATTGGCTCCAACTAAATAATTCTTTACATTTTAAAAATAAAAAAATGTGTGGGTGGGAAACACAGCAAACTACATCTTATAGGATTGGTATCTGCAAATCATTAGGGAAAAAATTGCCAATGTTTTTTATTGGAAAAGCTAAATCGCCCAGATGCTTTAAAAATGTAAAGCATTTACCCTGCCTTTATCGCAGTCAGAAGAAAAGTTGGATGGATGGTACACTATTTGAGGAATAGTGTACCATCCATCCAACTGGATGGTACACTATTCACTAAACCAATAGAAATAATTTTTTTAAAGGGATCCCAAACTCTCAACACATGTTGTGTTCATATTAAAGATAATGTTAAAAAAAAGGTTTGAACCAAATTTTTTTGATTAAAAATAAATAATGAATGCATACCGAGAAAAACAAATGTTGTTGTTTTTGTCGAAGCTCGTCTTCTCCATTTTTTTTAACTAATCGGAGTCTTTAAATTATGCGTCGCAATCTACAGACTTTGGCAATTCCTTTGAAGCGCATTTAATTCATAAAAGTTTTAGTATTTGACGTCAAGGTAGACTTTTAACAAAAGAAAAGTGTAATTAAACTAAGCTGCGTTTTTCTACTGTAGTATTTTTTTAACATACAGCAAAACAAATTTATTTGTATTATTTTTCTAAACATCGCAAAAAAAAATTTGTAAAAAGAAAAAATGATAAATTATTTTTATTTTATAGGAGCAACTTGTTTTTTACAGATATCTTAATAATTTTTCGATTTATATATCTTACTTATATTTATTTTGTTTTTAAATTAAAACAAATATTAAAGCTTTACTTACCAATCTTATGATTTTCTTACAAGTATTTTACATTATATAGAACATTATATAAACGGTCTCTCGTTTTTGTGCAAGAGAGCGCAGTATTATATATTCTAAATCTTACATTAAACAATCAAAACTATTTTCTAACTTCTCTGGTCATTTTTACGCTATGAAGTTTTTTGTTTTTCCGTCGAAAAAAAGTAATTACAAGCAATTGCTTTCATTTATTTATTATATTTATTTTTTACCTACTTTTGTTATAAAAAGACTTTAGTACCCCCGTCATTTAAATAATTTTTTTTAAATATATTTCGACGTGATTATTCAAATAAATTTTTTTCGTTTGACTTCCCCAAGCAAATTGAGACAAAATATCGTCTAACCAAATAAAAATGTTGTTACTAATTTTATACGGGTAATTAATGTAAAACATTTTTTTATCAGAGTCTTGATTGAGATAATAAATATTCATAATTTATAAACATTAAATATATAGCGCAATAACAATTTATAGCAACGAACCAGCATAAAAGATTTAAGGTTTTTAATATATTTTTAAATATTAAAAGTAGAAAAAAAAAAAACTAAACAAATAACCAAAAAAACTTCGACTAAAAATAAATAAAAATATTTCCAGAGTTTCTTTTGTTAAAAGTCTACCGTGACGTCAAATACTAAAACTTTTATGAATTAAACGCGCTTCAAAGGAATTGCCAAAGTCTGTAGATTGCGATGCATAATTTGAAGACTCCGATTAGTTGAAAAAAATGGAGAAGACGAGCTTCGGCAAAAACAACAACATTTGTTTTTCTTGGTATGCATTCATTATTTACTTTTAATCAAAAAAAATTGGTTCAAACCTTTTTTTTTAACATTATCTTTAATATGAACACAACTCGTGTTGGGAGTTTGGGATCCCTTTAACACCAATTTTTTTACCATCTCAAAGCTCCAGCCGACGGACCAGGGCATGATTAGGTCACTTAAAGCCTACTATAGAATACTATCTGTTCAAAAATTAATAGATGCAATAGAAAAAAAAAGCCTCTTCCGGAATTTATTATAATGGATACCTTGCAAATACTTGATGTTGCTTGGGGGAAGGTGAAGACCGAAACTATTTGCAATTGTTTTGCTAAAACTGGAATTTCAGAGAAAAGATGAAGATAGTGATGTAGATTTTTTGATCAAACCAAATTGCCTTTAATCGGGTGATGTACATCAAGGGGGAGTGTATTCTTAAATGTATAAACCAAACAAACTTAATTGTGGAAAAAGAATTATCAGAGAAGCTAATACAAGCGGATGAACATAGTTTCTTTCACTGAACTTTTTTATTACTATAATAGTGTATATTTAATGCTTATACTTTAGCATTGAATAAATAAAAATCGCCTTAACTCGAGCTAATATTTCATTTCTGTCAAAGTTCAACTTAACGGGATTTCGCTTAAGACAAACATTTGTTAAGTTAAACCATTTGCATTGGTTCCTTGGAGTTATTAGGAATTAACTGTGTGTGTGTGTGTATATATATATATATATATATATATATATATATATATATATATATATATATATATATATATATATATATATATATATATATATATATATTATATATATATATATATATATATATATATATATATAGGGGAAGTCAGGGTTCAGTGGATCGAGGGGTACAGTGAACAAAAAGCATTTTCTCAATGATTAGAATTTTGTTCATCTTGATAACAAAATCATTTTTTGTGCTCATATCAGCCATTTTTATTTATAGTTATTACCTCATAATTTTTGACTACCGGTTTTTGGTAGGTAATTTTTGTTTTTAGCTAACTAAAGTAAATTTTCTTACTGTCCTATTGTTTGTTATGGAGATCGTGGTTGAAATAATTTTGAAAGCTGAAGTTTTTTTATTTGGATTATTGATATTTATGCTTTCTTTTAGTAGTTTAGCTTTTCTTTCAACAACACTCATGTTCCAAGAAATTTTTTAACTTTTGCTCAATTTAAAAAATAAAGAAATCCGCTCTACTGTGCCCCAACTTCCCCTATATAAATTTTGTTAAATATATATATATATAATATGGACACATTTTCAAAAAATGCTCTTAACGACTCATAGTCTTTAAAAAAATCAAGTACATCTTATGTAAAAATGATTAAATGAAACTAATTAAATTTTATTGTTTTTAAAAAACCACAAAAATGCAATTAAATATACTGGAATAATTTCTATTTTTTTAATAAAAATAAAAAAAATAAAAATAAAAACAGTTTTTATTTTTATTTTTTTGCTGTTTATATACATTGACTGACAAATAGGTAGAACATGTGAGGAGTGCTTCTACATCGACTTAGGGTAATGGTTAGAGCAGGCAATCTATCAGTTAAAAAAATTTTTTTTTTTAAGTTTTAAAACCTTTTTCTGGTTGTCTAAATTAATTTTTCAAAAGCGCTCACCTAAACATTGATTTATTAATGCATTTCCATAGAATCCTGATTTACAAAACTGACAAGAATTTCCCATTGAATTAAACTGGCAGTTTAAACATATACCATCTCTTGTACATTGATCACTATTACCATTGCATGCACATGGTTCACAGGTTCTTCCTCGAGTGTTGGGAGGACAATTACATATACCACTGATAGGATTACAAATTTTATCTGTCCCTTTGCAGTTACAGGCTAAACAGAAAAATATCTTTATGTTATATTTTATATTTTAATCATTTAGGCTATAAATGGTTCTAAATCTTTTTAAATCTAACATTTTGAACTTAAACTTAAATATCTCTTATCTATAATACCTGTACACCCTGCACGTGAAAAACCATAAAAGCCAGGTAAACAATATGAACAGTCTCGACCACCAACACCAGATTTGCATTGACAGTTTCCACCATATTTATCACATATATTGGATACAGAACCAACAGAATTGCAACCACAAGCTTAAATAAATAAAAAATAAATACTAGATCATTTAAGAATAACTTTTGACAAAAAAATAAAACCACTAAATACTTTCTATATTAGTAATCAGAAATTTTGTAAAAATTAATAAATACAAAAGAAAAATAACAATTCATTTTTAAACTTGTTTTGTATAAAACAACTTTTAT